AATAAACTACTTTATATATGTGAACTTACCTGAAAGTTGACAAATATATGTGGTAGTTCAATTCATGAATGTCACTATTTGAAAAAATTTGGTTCACAGACACATTGACCATTTTTCCCAAACAGAAATGTGTCCATCTTTTCCAAAATTGTAGAACAAATTAAGTTCTTGAACTAAAACACCACCATATTTTGAGTAAGTCTGTCACCAGGCCACTAGACTCAACTTTTTTTTTTTTTTTTTTTTTTTTTGAGACATGTTCTAAGTTTCCTAGGCTGAGCTTAAACTTGATGATCCTTCTGCCTCAGCCTCCCACAGTGCTGGAAATACAAGTGTATGCCACCACACCTGGCATCGGTTCTGTTTTGTTTTCATCTTCTTTGTTTTTGTTTCTCTTACTTTTAACCCAAATTGACCCTACAGTATTAGCTGAGTGCCTGTAACAGCTTGGGTCATTTGTCTTTGGAATTATTTGCAGGAAATTGTGAGCAACTTAAACAATGGAGACATTTGAACATTAAGAACTTGTAGCAGTGACCCCCAAAGTGGGTCTTAAGCAGCTATTAACGTATTACATTTCTATATTAGAGATTATAAAGTAATTATTCCCACCAAGGAATTAGAATAATCTATAAAGCCTTTCCAGAAAACACCTGGCTGTACTTAGCAAGACCTGGTGGGCAGAAATACTAGTTTTTTAGTGATTACAGTGTACCCCCTAATTAAAACAGTACATAAGAGTCTTTTCCGTTTTTTTCATAAAACTATTACTAACACAAGTGAAACACTAATTATATTTAAATGTTGAGTCTTGGCTACATTCTTGAACTGTCATGTTAAAAAGTTAATAGTAACTAAAATTGTTTTCTGAGGCGCTTAATTATGAGTGCCACTGACTCAGAAATCAACTGTAATTCTTCCATTTAGTGGTAGACGAAGGAGAAGCCCCTCCCCTCCACCTGCCAGAAGACGCCGCTCACCCTCACCAGCTCCTCCTCCTCGGCGGCGCAGATCCCCCACACCACCGCCACGACGAAGGTACTTACAGATGCCAGGAATGCTCTGAAACTATGCTGAGA